TTCCACTTCTGCACGCTTATAAGTGAAGGAAAAAATAGAAAGATTTGATGCAAATATTTGTAAGAAAATATTTTAAAATGAAAATAACACGAGGAAAAAAACACATAAAAATAAAAAAAAATTAAATAATAAAAATATATACATTTTATTCAAAAAATCTTCAAAATAATCATAAAAAATTGTTATAAAAATAGAAAAATAAGCAAAAAAATAATAATTTATTCTTAGTGTTACTCAAGCCTAATATAAATAAAGTTAATATAAATAATAATAATATATAAATAAATAAAGCCTAATATAAATAAAGTTATGAAGAAGAAGAAGTAGTGTTACTCAAGGGGAGTGATATCGCCGATAGAATGCAAAAAAATAAGTTATTTGGGGGATCGGAAATTAATTTTAGGTTTGAAAATATAATTTGGTATCATATCAGACGGAAATTTAAGAGTATACAAATATATTTAAATTTTGTGAGGAATAATAATCTAAAATGTCCTTTTTAATAAGATTTCTAAGAAAAAATTGGTTTAAAAATGAAAAATAACATTAAAAATTGTAAATTAAACAAGAAATTGTATCAAATATCCAACTGATAAAAAAAAATTATAACGAGTATTCACACGATACAACGTTACTAATTAATCTTCAAGAGGATAAAAAGCCGAGAAGATACAATACAAATGTGTTGTAGAAGTGTACAAGAACAAAATAACAAGTAGGTAGAGGCAACAAGAAAATTCCATCTTCATATATATATATATTTCTAGCATCTTTGTTATATATTACACGACAGAAGATGATAAAAAATGAAATATAAGATAACAAATGCGTGAGAGATAACATAAATTGATGAATTTCTCAAACAAAAAATATAAAGAAATACAAAGAAATAACACAAATATGAATCATTAATATACATTTTTGATAAAGGATTATGGAATCTTATATATCAGAAATACAAAAATAAATAATGTAATATAGAAAAATAAATAAATAAATCCACATTATCCAAGATATCCTCTCGTCTAAATTCAATTTATAACTTGTTATCTACTAATTGTTTTCTATAAGATATAATATACTTTAACCCCGTTCTTAACCTGAAGTTCACGCACCCCCAAGAAGGATGTGAGGATTTACATCACAGATACTTAAGAAAATAAACATTAGCTGTTACTATTTACGAATTTATATTAAAAATTTCTTCAAAAATTCTTCCTACATCATTAAAATCCACCCCAATTTTACGTTTACTTGAGTTTCGCTTCAGTACAGTTCGGGGTTTTTCGGGGAATTTTTCCTAATTGCTTAAGCTTTAACTAAAATTAGAGTAAAATATACACTAGAAAATGGTAAAATCTATTCCATTAAAGAATTTTTCCCCATAAAACATCCACATGAATAATTCTTTTCCATGTGAATGCGAGATCCTATTTTAAAATTTCAACTGGTATGAGATGCAGAAAATGCTAAGAATCACTACTTTTACCAAATATTCAAGAATAATTCTATAACAAATTAAAATAAAAGAGGTAAAAGGATAATCTAATCATAATCTACTATAATTTCTAATTTCTAGACGTGTTTTTTTTAGCACGAAAAGGAAGAACTTGTCATTTTTACAGCTCTTTGTTTCACATAATTTATAACTGTCCAACTAATAAAATATATTATCGACTGTATATATGTCCGGATATTAAGAATAATAATAAAATTATACGACTGATAATAAATTAAATTAATAAGATTTGCATAGTTTAATAACATTTCTCTACGCTTTTTGAATGTTGATAGTGATGGAAAAGTGCGAATTTTATTAAATTGGACATCGTCGACGTAATGCTATCTTCGAGGCAACGTTGTGAATGCTTTAACATTTCTGGAATTTGTTAGAAAAGTAAAGTAGTAAAGTAATTTTTTTGAATATCAAAAGATTTCCTGTGCAATCAGCGAATACTGCATTGTGAAATTGCACCTTGCATACCTTTAAAACTATTTTTTAAAAAGTATTTTTACGGTGATTTTTAGCTATATTTGCTTTTGTAAATTGCTAGAATATGTATTATTATATCATATTATATATAATTACAACCATTTTACGAACATAAAAATGCAATTTTTTTTTCTTTTGAGAATTTAAAAAAATATTTTTGGAATTTCTACAATTTCGGATGTTATTCTTTAAAGATGATAACTTCACAAAATATTTCAGGAATTTTTCATGTATCTAAGTTCCTTATTGAAGAAATAACGATATATATATATATATAAAATTGAGAGTTTTCGATATTAAAATGACAAAATAATGATGATTTATCATCAAACAATTATTGATGACGATTCTTACTATTGAGTTTAATATTTAATTTTAATATTTGAAAGAGGAAAAGTAATGTCTTTAGTGTTATATAACGAATAATTATTCGCCTTAGGATATCGAAAACTAAAGATAAGTTGCATTGATAATCAATTCTGTCTCACTTATTGGATGCATTAGAGTTTTGATAGTAAATAAGTGCAAAGTTTTCTCATTGTTTGTCTATCAGAATATTGAAACGATGAGGAAATTATAACCATAACCTCATAAACACGAAGTTTCACCTTTCGATCTGCTATTGATAGCCTGAGTGGATAATTGTGTATTGCAGGAAAGCCGAAGCGTGAAAGAGAACCTCATTGTTCTTAATGAAAAGTTGGTGTTGCACAGAAAGGGAATGTTATTCATCCGAATTAATTCTATGGCAAACAACCGAAGGCTATTATAAGTTTCTAGCAATACATAATTTTTTAAAAACTCTGGAAATATTCGAACGATATAGGAATGTTATGAGTCTTACATCAATAGACAAACTTCTGTAAGTATTGGTAAAGAACTCATAAAAGTCTCATCAGATTCTTGGTTGGTAAAACGTAAAATGATTGTCGCATAGATGGAAAGTCATCTTTTAAGTGTCATTCGCACGTGTAAAGTTCACTAAAAGACAAAAGAATTGAGGCAATACGTCAAAAATTATTGAAGATGTTCAATTCACTCTTCGAAGACATTGCAAGACTAATTTGCATAAATTTTTTGATAACAATTTAAAATATTCTAAAAATGATAAATTAGAAATTTAAAAGATGTTCAAATATTCTAAATTGCACGAATTTTTTATAATTTTGAAGATATTTAGAGATTTATATCAATTCATTTTGGCAATTTTGAATCGATAACGTATAAAAACGCTTCGTATATAAGTAATTTATAATAAAAATTAAAAAAATAAAGAGTTTAATTCTTTAACATTTAAATTTACTTAAAGATTTAACACTTTAATACATAAGTAGTGCTCTGATATATACGTAAGATACAAAGAATGAAATTAATTTTGAATAGTTAAAGCGACGATTGGTAGAACATTAAAAAGTGTAGGATCGCTCAGAACAAATCAAAATAACCAATTAAATAAACCAATAGATACGTAGAAAACAATCCCCGCCGACTTTCGAATCGATAACCAATCAGCGAGAATTTAAACAAACGTCATTAAAACTTTTATGCTCTATTTCTTACAAACATCGCAGAGGACGTAAAATGCTTATAATAATTTATTTTATCAGTGTCTAAATGGATGTTTTTACTTAAAATTTTAGATTTTTGAATATAACTGATATACTCACACAAGTCTCAATTAAAGTATGAAAATTTTCATAGTAGCTTCCAAGATTTTTCTAAATCTCTACTTATGATTTACAAAACTGGAGTTATAAGAGATGGAAAGAAGATATGAAACAAAATCGGTTGAGAATAAATTTATGTAAAGTATATCATATATAAATACATATATATATCACATTTTCTCTGGAGATTTTTTTAGAAGAGAACTTTCTTCACTTTGTTTTTTCTTTCTTTTTGAATTACTACTCTGGGATTTCTTTTGATCGTTTGTATTTCTACACGATTGTTTTCTTTGTTTTTGTTTTCTTCGATAGGTTTCAATGAAATCTTTCTTTATTTCTAACAAAAATCTTACAACACTTAAAAACAGAAAAAAAACAATTTTAGATCAAAATCGAATTGCTTACTTTTCTCTTTTTTTTCTTTTTTTGGGAAATTAATACACGATTCTCACAATATATTTTCTAGAAAAATGTCGTTTTTTATATTCGAATTTAAAATTTTCATATTTCTTTAAAATAAAAAATTCACGTGGAAAATTACACACACACAAAAATCTCAAATTTCATTGTGTAATTGTGTTTTTAATAATTGATTTTTATTTAAATTGTAAGATATTTTGTAATTTTTAGTACAAGATGTAAATTTCATTAAATTTTTAATTTGTAATTTGAAAAGTTGTGATTGGATTTCATATATTAACGTTTATTAATTATAAAATTTAACATATTACTTTAATGTTATATGAGTTCGGTTTATTAAAATTAAAGAGTATTATGAAAATAAATCATTTATAACACGAACACAACAAAGGGTTAATATTAATATTTTTCATTTTATATATTTCAAAATAATTTATATAGTTTATTTTTAACAAAAATTATATTTTATCAATTATTTTGATTTAAATTGTAGAAATTCGTGTTTAGTGAGCCATATTTCATTCTTTTTTCCATTATTTATGATAGAGAAAGTTCTATATCATTTTAAGCGTTGAAAGCTTAAAACGATATTTACGTGAGTATTCAAATATTCTAAAATTTTAAATAAATTAAACTTAACTTAAATAAATTATTATAAGCAACATTTGACGTCCCCTGCGATTCGCGTAAGAAATAGAACATCAAAGTTTTAACGACGTTTGTTTAAATACTCGGTGATTGGTTATCAGAATCGAAAGTGGGCGGGGATTTGTTTCTTGCGTAAGAAACACTTAAAAATATTATTTTTAACAGTAAATTTAATTATAAACGCATAAAACTTAATGTATTCAGTACATAATGGGCGTTTAAAGCGATTTAAAATTAGGGATTATCAATAAAAATGATGATGATAAACTTACCCCTTTCACGAACTCTTTCCAGAACAAAGGTGAATTGATTCTGTGTTCCTGGAAAATCAACAGTCATCAATACATGTTCTTCTTTCAAACGTCGACGAGGAGCTAAATCCAGTAGAGCAAATGAGACATCGGAGTGAGAGTGAATGAGTGCTGATTGCAAAGATGATGTAAGCTCTGGAAAAAAACAAAAAAAAAAAAAACTTGGATTTATAAAAAGAATAAAAGAAAGTTTTATGTAATCACAATAGATACATGATTTATTCTGTAGTTCTTTTAGAAATTCCAAATGAATTACATGGCATGGGTGGAGATGCTTGATCCTGCTTTACTTGTACTACATCATAGTTTAAATTTAAGCGATTTTTCACGAGTTGTTAAGATGTTTCGACTTTCTAATCAGTTTTACTTTACTTGTTTCGCGGGATTTTATATGTTAGAAACTTTTTAAAAATATTTTTTTAGATATATTTCAAGTAATAAAAAGGTGAAAAAGTGAGTAAATAGTATTTGAAATGGGATTCGAGAAGTTGAAAGACAATTTTCTATACGAGTAGAAATGAGCTTTTTTCTTCGCATTTTTCCCCCTGATGATGATGATGATGAGGATCATCTAGAAACTGATCTAATGTAGGAGATAAGATTGCTAATATTTTTCAATTTTAATAATTCTCTGCAGAAATGTCTGAAAGTTTTAAACTCTATTTAACTTCTTAGCAACGTGTAAAAATTTCTAGAATTAACTAGCTTAATTAGTTTATAGTATTATAAATGTTAACTTATTTTTTAAACAATGTCTAAAAGTAAAAAAGTTTATTGCTTAAATATATTTTGCAATTGAGATATTCTTTCTGTTATTGTAAAAGAAAAAATATTATTGTTTAATACGAGTATTTGCTCTTAATACAAAAATTATGTGCTCTCCTCTAAAATTATACTATAAAACAGTATTATAGAGAGAGTATACTGTTTAATCTTGCAATAGAAAAGAAGTCAAATAGTAGAAAAGTTTATAGTCGTATTTCTTAACAATATTATGGAGAAGAGTTAAATTTTTAAGGTAAATTATAGAAAGGGGCAAAACAATATGGTGGATACCATTAAATATGTAATACTTTTTTTAATGAGAATATTGCTTAGGCTATATTACACAAAAATAAAATTGTTTAACAAAATTATGAAAAATACAACATTGCTTAACAATATCATAAAAAATTAAATATTTACAACGTTTTTGTTTCAAAATAAAAGTGAAGATATTGCTTAAGAAGACAATTGCAAAAAAAAATTATAAAGTATATTGCATGAAATGCTGTATACGAGCACACGGTTATGAAGTAGTATAATTTGCACCAAAAATAATAAAAATGCTAGCAAAATTATATGATAAAGGAAATTTAAACATTGGAAACATATAGAAGAGAGGATCAGCATCACGTGTAATAATTTCGTTTCTACTTCACAGATATTAAAATAAAATTTAGAAATTGATACAACAATTTCCAAAAAAATAGATAACATAAAAATGCGAATGAACATTAATATAAGTTTAAAAAATAAGAATTTTTTTTTGACATTTAATTTAACAAATCTTTCAAAATAATGCAAATCAATGACAGCTCTGTAGTGTGAGATATTATTCAATTTTTTCTTCTTAAAGATATTGAATTTTCTCCAAAAGAAAAAATAAAAATTAATTTAAATTTCATTTTTCCAATTTCAACCTTTTTATTAATAGTAATATAAAAAATAATAAAGAACTCTCCCCAGTATAACGTGTTATTATCGTTACAACACTACAATTATTTAATATATTATTGTATTTTATAATAATTAAATTATTTTGTAAATTTAATTTTAAAATGTCACTTAAAATATCTGAAAATATTTTAATATTTAATATAATACCACAAGAGATAAAAATGAAATAAATTTAAATATTTTAATTAAAATTTTTTAAAAAACAATTTAAAACTTTATATTTATTTTTTAAATATGTTATTACTAAATATATATATAAGCTATATATTTAATTATAGAATGCCAAAATATATTAAAGCAGTAAAAATTTTTATGTTGTAATTTTAAGAAAATAATCTAAACTACAAATATCAATAAAATTTCTTAAGAACTTTCGAAATTTTAATAATTTAATTTTTAAAAATTCGAGTGTGATTTTTCAATGCTCATAATGACACGTTCTAAAGTTTCATAGCGAAGAATTGAAAGGAAAAAAATGTTTAAACATAAATAAATTAAATAATAATGCATAAAATTTTGCATTAATATCAATTTAAAGAATTTCACAAGCATTTTGTATCGAAATTCTTAAAGAAAATGCCAAAAAAAGAGAAAAAAAATCAACTCTGTAGAAGAGAAAGCAATCAAATTTTAAGTTAAGGATCAATACACTGTCTTTTAAATTTAATGATATAAAAACAATTTAAATTAAAAAATTAAATATAAAATAAGTTTAATTTTTAAAAACAATAATAAAAAATTTAGGAAATCTCATTAATTCGTTTTTTTCTCTACATTTAAAACATATAAATTTATATATTTTGAATATAAAAAAGTTATATCTTTTATATATAACTTAGATTTTTGAAAATGATTTTAAGCTTAAAGTATTGGATATATAAATATTAATTTAATTTTAAACTTGTAATTTCTAAAATTTACAAATTATCGAACAGATCCATGAAGAAGTAAATATGAGAATATGCAGCCATGCAAATAAAAGTGTTAGTATACAATTTTTAATGTATGAAACATGAAGAATATTAATCATCTTTTAGAGTGCTCCTGTCATATCTTTAGTTATTCATGAAAGAACTCGTTAACACATAAAAGTATATTTTTATATTACATTAAAATATAACTTTTAACACTTTCTGCAGAATGAAATTTCCAAACAAACTTTTTACTAACTTTAAAAATACTTAAACTTCATTGTTTAGAAGAAAAAAAAACAAATTTTTTTTACCGGTGTAAATTTCTAAGAAATTACAAAAATGTAATTTACATTAATAAACGAAATTAATGAGAAATCGCATTTATTAATTAATATAATTGTATTTTTTCAGTTTAATTTATTTTTATTCTCTAATTTTTTTATAATAGAATTACACTTAATATTATTTAATAATTTTTAAATTAATGTGCATATTAATATAAATTTT